TACAAATAAAATTACTTAATCACGACTCTCTTTGTTTTTCCATACATAACTTCCATTTATTTCTTACCTTTTCAATGCGACTTAATTGTCACTTCAAGATATTATTTTAACGTGTTTTGTTGTTTTCTTGTGCGCGCTCGCGCGTGTGTAAATTCTCTCCTTTTCGATGTCATAAGTCTGTATCCATGAAAGTCGAGCGAGGAACTTCCAGCAAACAAATTAATTCTCAGCGGGTTATTGTGCAGTGTTTTAGTAGCATAGATTAGTTAGATATACTGTCCCACATAAACTAAAAGCATATATCACAGTTAACAAACAAAAATAAAACAGTCATAAGTGCCAATTTTCATAAAATGAAATAATATTTTTTTTCCAATAAAGGTGCGAATAAAGATAATTTAGTCGAAAATTTGATTTTCTGGACACTTACTGAAGCTTATGTATTTATAAATCAGATGTCTACCAGTCCCTCAGTTGACGATATCTTTGTGTGTACCCTCCACCCCTAAATGTACCCTAGTCATAAAGATTATGGTTGTATTTAGGCTTATTAATGGAGCTCAATGATGAGATATTACTAATAGTAAACATTATATTATCTATACCCCCAAAATTAGATAGCTCAATTTGGAAGTCATGCTACGTATAATATAAAAAGATGATAAGGATATGCTCTATTTCCTGCTTATGTTAGGGCGTTTATGGGCAACTTATGATGTGAAACCTCCCTCTTTCAGTTTCGTTTTTTTTTTTTAATACATATACCTTTATACGGTGTCGTGCACTTTTCAGTGAACATTTGTTTTAGTGTGTGCGTATGTGTGCAAACGTGTTTGTTCTACAAGGTGGACGCGGATTGGGTCTTAATGTCGGGGCCAGGACGAGTGAAACAGGGTCGACCATTCTCAAAACCGGTCTTCCAACCGGTAAAGACGAGCGGGAAAAACAGCGATGAAAGCATATGCCTGCTATGACTGACCCTAAAAGCCAGTTTTACCACGTTAATTTAGGTGCCATATTCTTGTGCTGGAGTTTCGTGTTACTCATAACCATCGAGAAAACGGTTCAGGAAGGATATAGTTTGTATATTTTCCTAACAGCGGAATGAGATTTTGTGAACGGCCATGTACGATCTTGTGTCACAAGTGTTGAAAAGTAGGCCACCGCAAAGGAATTGTTTTTATTTGCCTTCGACAAACTGAACTTCAGTATTGAAAGCAACAAGGAAATGATGCAACTGGTCCTGGTTTAACTCTCTCCCTGAGCTTAACAAAAAGTGACTTTCCTTTAAATTACGCATCACAAATTTTCGAATTTGAGCATGAAAAGACAACTAATATTTTAAGCTTACCAGATTTGGAATACTTAGGTGAAAACAATAGTTTTAGTCACAGTTTGACTAGTTGAGTAATGAACAATGGACTTGCAACTGTGGTTGAACAGAAGTATCCGTGACAGACAACAATCTTTGCAATTGCAACGCATTTGCGGAGCGCATTTATTTACCATGGTTTGTATCGTAACCATAAAGGTAATGTTTTATTTGGGTTTCGGATAAAAAAACAAACACGAGATTTTCGCAAAGTTTCTTCATTACATACATCACTTTAATAAACGTCCAGTCTTATAGAATTTCCAACTTTTATGTTAACTCTCTATTTTGGAAAACCGCATTTTTCGTTCTCACCATGAGTACAAGAGGAACTTTCTTGTCTGCCTTTTTGGGTCTTTTGTTCGTGGTTTGTAGTTTCTTTCTGCTTTGTAATCTAATACTGGAAGTAAACGTGTTCATGTCAAGGCGAACACCTCCTTTCTGGATAGGTCGCGGTGTTTTGTGGGAAAGCATCCATCCAAAAATAATTTCTTCCACTCGTCCGTCGGTAATTAGCGTTCGTTCGCCACTCATTAGCGACCAAGTTCGACTTTCACCGATAATTAACGTGGTCTTCACGGCCAAGTACGCCTATCGTAACTTAAAGATTATCCGTAGGATACAGTTATGTCTCAGAAGCCTCCTCCAGATGACCAATTCTTCAATTCACTTCCACGTGGTTCTGGACATCCCAAGCATAAGACGCGTTGAAAGAGCATTAAAAAAGATTGCATACATTACTAAGAAACAATTCAAGGTGAGAATGTTTTAATCTCTAAGAATATATTGTAGGAGCTTTTTAAATATCGTAACATTATAGTAACACAGTAACCATCCGTAGAACACATCTAAAGATAAGCATTTGTCTTTTTAAGAAAAGTTTCCAAGTTCTGAAAAAAAGAAAAGAAATATACTTGTTTCTCATAACTATTTGTCACATATCACTGAGTTAGAGCGATTTCAGTAAATTCCATCTCTAATCGGTGACACTGGATAAGGGTCAAGCCAAAATAAAATATAAACCTTATGATAGTGTTTGTGTAAATAGTGCAGGTTGCCTATATCAATACAGATTACTTGTAGTGTGTACGAAACATTAAAAATACCTAACGCATTCCTATAATTACCTCCAAACATTTAAAGTTTAATTACAGGTCTTCACACCAGTCAACTGCTGTTACTACAAAAGCTTTTAGTAACAGCAGTTGACTAGTGTGAAAGATTTGTTCAATGTGTAAGTGATCTCTTGCATAAACTAAAGTATGACTGTTTTCGCGACTGTAAAATATATATATGTGAGTATCTGATCCTGCGATTTATTCAAAATATCGAGATACAAAGTAAGAAAAATCTTAACAAAAATAAGGAACACGCGCATAATCTTATGTTTGCAAGAAGTTCAGATATGTGCACAAATAAAGTATGGACAAGTTGAATATAAGCTAACATACATTTTAATTATTATACAGATACTACGAATGATTCAAAGACAATAATTACTCAACTGTTTAATTTACTTATATTTGCTATAGTCCTTTTTGCGTTACTACTGTCTGGCCACGTGTGATGTCATTTCCGTTTTGTAAAAAAAAAAGCTGTGATTCGTGTAAAAAGAAGTATTTATAAAATAAGATAATTCGAGAAATAAACATTAGAATAGACCAGTAATATTTTTTACACACATATATAAAGAAGAAAGGTAGAAGTTATTTGGAGTAAATTGAAATACGCATGATCATAAATATAGGTCAACCTTAATGACGTCAGAACCTGTTTGAGACGCAGCATGAATTCAGTAAGAATCTGGTTTTTCACGTTGAAAGGCTGATTCATCTCCGTTACGTGTTCTTGTCATTTGACAAAAATAATCTTCAGTTCCTCATTCATATTGTGACAAATGTAGTCAGTAGGTCTTGCAACAAGCTGTTTTCAGTTAGTAATTTTTTAATTACCCCCAGTCCTCTAATTCTTGAGGAATTTATAGCTTATCTAAAGTCAATATAATGAACGGTTGTTTTTTGTTTTGTTAAGTACTTATTGTTCGATAAAACCGCTTCAAATTAGTCGTACCAGTTAGTAGAAAATCAGTTTTTCTATAGCACGTGCTTGTGTGTACGTAGGAATAAGGAATGATCCCATGTCGTATTCATTTAAAGTTGCAACCTGTAGTTGTCATAATTACATATTTTATTATTTTTAAGGTAGGTTTGAATAATGCGTTAACATGTATTCTAGGTTCCTCGTGAACTTTATTCTGCCTTTTCTCTTAGTTCTGAATCAAAGTTTCTGGCTTCGTGTTGACCTGATAAAATAAAGCCCGAAACGTCGTTTCAAAGAACATTAATAGAAAACACTCCGTCCACATATTAAAAAACCGGTTCACGTTAAAATCCAGTGATTTTCACTTTCCTCAACATTCAATCGATAATTTTTGTCGGTTAAAAGAAAACCTTTCTACAGGGACTCTTCCTTGGGATACCACAGGTAATGTAAAACACACTGCAAAACTGTTATCCCTATTATATACATATATATAATGGAAAACTATTCTTTTTCCCTTTTCTAAGTCTTTTATGCTAAAGTCGTCTATTTTTACTGTGTTTTACAAGGAACATTAAAAAAACATGATAAAACCGAACATTGCTTCGTAATTTAACAAATTATTAAACACAGTAGAAGTAACTTTATTGAACTGTGGCATCAGATAAGCAGTCTTCTTCTAAGACATACAAAATGTTACTTTCATACGTAAATTATTAAAGTAGGCTTAGAAAATTACCTTGCAAGTCCTTTCAAGTCTATTTTCATTTACTTTTGCGTTGATACTGTACTTATATAATGACCAAACTCTTAACCATTTACTGCTTATTACAAAATGTGACTATAAAATAAATAAATGACATATGAAGAACAAAACAGGCAACGTATCCTTTTAAAAATAATCAACTTCGAAAAAGTAAATGGTCTAAGATATTTTTCCATTGACTTTTAATCTACGATCTGGTTTGGTTGTTGTTGAGTACAAAGCTGCACGATAGGCTATCTGTGCTCTGCCCACCACGAGTATCGAAACCCGATCTTTATCCAATAACTTACGAACATCCAGGGACCATTGGGTTCTTTAAAGGGGCTATCCTTGCACACTAACCCTTGGCAAAATTTAAATTTAAGCTCAAATTTACGTTTCGGGGGAGTTATCAATTTCCCTCTTAATTCTTAAGTCAATCACCCTGTTTAAAAAAAAAACTGTCATATCTGTAGCCTAGCCCGTCTTTTTCAAATCTTAAAATGTTATGCAGCAATCACAAGTACTGTATACATGTTATGATATTTTAACTATATTTTTGTCATTAAAAATGAAGTCAGGTATAATTTTGTTCTTCAATAGGTATCTTATCTCGATGCTGACATTATCTCGTTGAATCATCAAGAAGTAATTAAAGTAATGAGAAGATACTTCTTCACTAAGGATGTTGGACGATATAACGACGACATATTTTTCATCTCAGAAATATTTCATCACGTGTTTCATTTCGAGAAAGCGATAATGATCGATCTCGACCTCAAGTTTAAAGCAGATATTTTACATTTATATCAGCATTTTGAAAATTTCAATGATACCCACATAATGGCGATGTCCAATGACCTTCAACCACAGTACAGAGAAGACTTTGGAGAGTACCGCCGTCTCCACCCTGGAACGGACGTGGGATCACCTAGACCAGGAAAGCAAGGATTTAATACAGGAGTAGTCCTCTTTCATCTGGAACGGATGAGAAATTCAATATTATACAACAAACTTCTGCAGTCCGATGTTCTCGGGTCCCTGTGCTCGAAGTATTACTTTAAAGGCTACCTGGGTCATCAAGACTTTTTTACTCTGACCGGCATGGAGTATCCAAACCTGTATTACACTCTGGACTGCACGTGGAACAGACAACTGGACACAGCTTGGATGAAGAACGTCAATGAAACAGTATTTGATTCATACCACGAATGTGCTGGAACAGTAAAGATCTATCATGGAAATGGAAACTCACTAATCCCATTTACGTAAAAAGTATTTGTGTGCCGATTTTTACTGAACTATTAAGAGTATTTGAGTGCCGATTTTTACTGAACTATTAAGAGTAAATATTCTAGTATATTCTAGAAGGAAAAAGAGGCTATTATGATATTATACACTTTTATTTTTGTGTTTTTCGCACTTAAAAAAATCACGTTAAAGACCTAACTATTAAGAGTATTTGAGTGCCGATTTTTACTCAACTATTAAGAGTATTTGAGTGCCGATTTTTACTGAACTATTAAGTATTTGTTCGTTGATTTTTTTTAACCTAGATACTAACATGTGAACACGACTAACTCTTTTCTCACTCTAAATACATGAAAAATGATTTATACACATTGATTATTTAAGCTGAAGGATCGATTATGGATATTTTATATAGAAGGTTCTATTAATGATATTTATATAGCTTGATGATAGTTTTATATAGTTTATATTGATTAGTTTTATATAGTTTTATATTGATTAGTTTTGTATAGTTTTATATTGATTAGTTTTATATAGTTTTATATTGATTTTTCAGTCAGAAGGTTTTACTATTAATACTTTATATAAAAGATTATGTTACTGATACTTTATATAGACGGATTTTTTTTTTCTTAGCCATGTGAATTAATTTGTACGATGAGTAAAAGAAATACTGTAATCATTTATTCAGAGCTGTACAAGAGTACGACATTTGTGGGGCGAACCTCACCGTACATTATGTATTGTTTGTCACACCATCTAAAACACAAATGCATGAAATATTCTAGAAGGAAAAAGAGGCTATTATGATATTATACACTTTTATTTTTGTGTTTTTCGCGCTTAAAAAAATCACGTTAAAGACCTAAACAGAAAATATACTAACTACTGCTATTAACATTACACACATAAAATAAATCGAACCGTGCACGTACTATGAGAACGAGGTTCATGGTTCGCGGACCGTTGCTGCAAAACTGCGTACCGTAATGTAGGGCCATGGGTGCGTTATAAGGGTAACCACAAAATTTTACAATTCGGTCAGACAAGAATAGCCTAAAAGTAGTCGACGGATGCTGTTGTTTCTCTTGTCTATCAGTTTACAATTATGAATAGTTCTTGATTATATTTGTGCGAAAATTCTAGAAAAATAAATCACTTATCACGCAGATGTTGTCACGAGTTTTAAGAGCATCCAGCACAAACAAACAAAACAAAAGACTGTTTGGAGTGTCGCGTTTTTACGGGTATCGCACCGATGAGTTAAAAATGGCGTTTTAAAACGAAACGTGTTCATTATATTTATCTCTGGCAAAAATGCAACAAAATATAAAATGTTCATTTGCATGAAATAACAACTAGGCATTTGAGTTCAGCTATAACTGGAAGGAAAGATACTGGAGGAGAAAACCCCCTTACATCTCTCGTCAGAGCATAACCTATTGGTGGACTATGTGATCTAACTAATTTGTTGCTGAGAACAACGCGTATCAAGTGTTTTATTTTTAAGTACCACGAACATAAGATATAAAACAAACGAGTTAAAACCATACATTTGTTCAAGAATTTTAAATGTTATTCGTTTGATCTGAAGAACTATATGTAGGGTTATTTCACCGTATGTGACAGTTTTTTTTAGCGCAAAGCTACACAAGGGACTATTTATTCTCTGTCCATTGCGGAGAATCGAGCCCCGGATTTTAGGACTGTAAGTTCGTGAACTTACAGTCGATCTCCCCGGGGGAATCTATCTTAGAGTAATGAATATTTAGTCGGAAGAGGGCTCCTCGTAAAAGACTTTGTAATATATGTTTGATGATCAATATAAGCACAATTGTTGTAGACAATAAGGGATTAACGTAATACAACGTTATAAAGGATTAACGTAATACAAATGTGGGTATACAACATATATTTATATTATATAAGTTAGGATTATGTTTAGGGCTTCTGATTTTCGGGGTTGACACCCCGGATGCAAAAACAAATGTAAATGGTGTTTTTTATACAGGGTCGAATATAACTGATATTATTTTTCATTACCTTAGCTATTTACAAGTAGTTTTAATGAAGCTTTATGTAAAAACAAATTTTTAACATTAAGTATACTTAGGGCTTCTGTTTTTCGGTGTTTTATGTAGATAGTTTAAAATGGGTGTTATCATTATTATTTTTATGTAGATACCTTAAAATCGATGTTATATTTTTTATGTAGATACTTTAACATCGGTGTTACCATTTTTTATTTTTATGTAGATACCTTAAAATCGGTGTTATAATTTTTATGTAGATAGCTTAAAATGGGTATTATCATTATTATTTTTATGTAGACACCTTAAAATCGATGTTATATTTTTTTATGTAGATACCTTAAAATCGGTGTTATAATTTTTATTTTTATGTAGATAGCTTAAAATGGGTATTATCATTATTATTTTTATGTAGACACCTTAAAATTGGTGTTATAATTTTTTATTTTTATGTAGATACTTTAAAATTGGTGTGTTTTTTTTCGGAATTTTAGCATTTAATACTGTAATGAGTATACTAATATACCATTTATTCCCTGCACATGCATTTCTCCGATTAGAGTAATAACACGTACAAATGCATAGGCTTACGTTTCACCGGCTACTGACAGCAAAAAAAATGAAGATGTCGAACGTAAGTCCCAAATTCTTGTTTTTAAAATACAATTTTTATTTATTGTTATAGAAATAACTAAACTAAAATAACTAAAACGTAAAAATTAGTAACTTATTGGTTTAGATTGGGGGGGGGGGGGGATATTTGAAAGTAACGAGTACAGGAAATAATTTTTCAAACAAGCAGAATTGACAAAGAATATAAAAAATAAGGTTTGAAATGTTTGAGACATTATTCTTAGTGTTAAGAACATTTCTGTACCAGGAACTGAAAAAAAAATCATATTGAATACTTAACAAAACAGAGGCCAAAATTACGTGGAACTGAGACGGGTTCTCTTTCCTTAATCGTTTACATTATGTATTTTGTTTTGTTTGTTTTGAATTTCGCGCAAAGCTACACGAGGGATATCTGCGCTAGCCGTCCCTAATTTAGCAGT